CTTTATCCACTTTTTTTTTTTTTTGGGTACATTTTATCCACTCATTTTCTCCTGGGTTTATGGCTGTCCCGGTAATCGGTTGTCTCATTATATCGTTTTCATCTGAGTCAAGCTATCTGCGTGTCACTGCTGTATCGACAACCGCTGGCGAGGTCAAACTATGGAACCCGGACCCTCCGGCGGGTCCTCACCGACGAGGAAGAGAAACGGCATGAGAGCTCGGACGAGAATAGACTCACTGGACCATGATATCCTCCATATCATCTTCTCCTTCCTGAATATCTTCGACCTCGTTCGCTGCACCGTCGTTTGCAAATCCTGGTACGTTAAACACTCTAACTGCTTCAATTTTACAATTATTGGTTTTCGTTACTCCAGTAATGGAAGTGTAATCGACTAGTTGATTGGCAAGAAGAAACAACATGATGATCCGACGATTTTCTGTTCTGTTTTTTTTCTGAAGGAATGCAGTGCTCAATAGATCTAAGTTATTGCATTACAAGATGTGGCAGAATTATTCAGAATTTTTTAATGATTCTAATTCTTCACGACGAGAATTGAATTTGAGTCTAGAAGAGCTAGCTAAGATGCATCATAGCTTATCTTTGCGAGAAGGTCGTATTGATATTGATCAGTGGAGAGGTCATTCAGTTGGGTAACGATTTTCAACTTCCTTTTTATTTTGTTTCTGCAATTCAGTTGATATCTTGTTTAGTTGTTTCATATTTGGAGCACCAAACTGAGTTGTATTTGGACCCTGAATCCACATCCCTTTCCTTTACATATTAGATAATATTGAACTTGTTGCATTGGGGATTGAAGTGAATTTCAAATGTTTCATTGTCATGTCATAATCGACTGGATTTGGTCACTATGGACAATGACATGAAGGCAGGTTTAGGCTCACAAAATGTTTTTGAAAATCTCTTGAATGTAAATCATCTTCTTAGAGGATTTATGGCTTATTTTCATCTCCAAACATGTGTCATATATAGTCTTTATCCAACCTAATCGGAGTTTAATTTGGTTTATGTTTCCCTGGAAGATAGAAATACATTGAGAAAATATGGAGAACAAGTGCATTAGCAACTATTGGATTATCTGTTTTAATTTAGTGCTCTTTGTGGATCTACTTGCGCATAGCAGGTTCGTGACTGGTTTCTAGCCTTTCCCTTTGTTAGGATTGATCAGTGCCGAATGAAGATGGGCTTGCTTCTTACTGGTGTTGGTGATAAGGTAGGGCTAACTAACGTTCATATGTTCTCAAACTCCTGTGTTTTAAGGATTGTTATAAATTCATGTGCATTTCTTTGTTCATTCCTGATGCATGTTTCCACTAAAATTTTTTTTTAACATATTTGAATTATTGTACCAGGTTATGCGTCTCTGGTCCTTAGACAGATACAAATGTGTGGAAGAATATTCCGTTCCTGATAATGTTTCTCTTGTTGACTTTGATTTTGATGAGAGCAAGGTAATAATGGCATATGTACAGCCCCTGTCCCCTTATCCTCTCTCTCACTCTCGCTCACATGGGTTATGAGTGGTGCCCTTCAAGCTGTGAACAACATATGCCCTTGATATTATTTGTTAATGAAGATAATTTTACGCTTAGAATTTTAGGATGAATTAATAAATATGGCTTCGCATGTGTTTAAGTGTGAAAATCCCACACCAATGAACTTAGGGTAGACGTGTTAATGTAAATATAATATGGGCCTCTCTTGGATGCTCACAACATGCATTTTATGGTATAAATTTCCTTAAGTATTTGTTTGCAGATTGTTGGTTTAGTTGGTACTCGTATAAGCATATGGAGGCGCAATGGGAAAAGAAGTATATTTCCCTCTCAAGAAGGGACGTTCTCAAGGGGTTTATGTATGCGGTATGTGAATAGATGCTCATGTTTTTCAATAGATGGGTGTTTATTCAAACTTCTTTTTCTGCCATTTTGTTGAATTCATCTCTAGCTATGTTTTCATTATAAAGAAAAGGAGTTGTATACCATTACTTAGTAAATATTAAGCCTGTTTGCAGTATACACATCATAGATAAGTAAACCCTTTATGGTACAAATTTCTTTAAATGTGAATAATTTTCTTCTACAGTTACATTGATCCAGAGGCTGTGGTTGGATGTGAAGATGGGACTGCTCGGGTATTTGATATGTACAGTCGCAAATGTTCTAGAATCATTAGGTATGTTTGTGTTTATTTTATTTTATTTTTTCATTTTTATTATCTGACAACCATTTCAGAGATGTTTTTGAATTCTCAGGTTTGCAAGTGTGCTTATTGGTATTTCCCTTACAAGGCATCTTTTAAGAATCATATAATGAAATGGTTCTTGCCTGCTATAGAGTATACTTTTTTTTTAAGTTTGGGTCTTAATAATTAAACTAATTGGAAAAAAAAAATAAACAGTGTTTTCAGCATGCATATATATTCAAAAATGAAGAAACAAATTATCAATAAACAAACATTCTTTTATAAGATTTGCTTTTAGTGCCACAACCATGCTTGTAAATGACAAGTTGACAACCATGGTTATCTTTAGCGCGCTTTGAAGTAGAATTGGAGTGGTCAGGGAAAAGAGTAATTGGTTACATCATATATGTTAATTTTTGTAGTAGTTCTCAAGTCACTTGGTCGAAGGATATGCTGGGTTGTAGATACTGGTGTGGTGGAATAATAGTTACCAATTTACCATATTCTATTGCTGTTGCTGACATCTTGAAACATGACTATATGGCATTATCTGACGAATGTGTTTGGACTACGCTAAAATGTGCCTTGTCGTATTGAGTATGTTTTATGGATCTCATTGGTATTGTTTTCGTCTACTTGCAGGATGCATGGTGCACCTGTGACATGCTTATGTCTTAGTGATGATCAGTTGATTCTTAGTGGGTCTTCTCTTGGTAGTATTACAATATCTGGTCTTTTGTCTAATCAGCAGGTAGCTACATTGAAGTCAACTGATTGTACAGGTACTCTGTCATTCAATACATAACTTATAGATATGCTAGTTACTTACATTTATCCATTCCATGATTTTTCTTTTGAAAATGTAACAAAACATCTTTAATCATGAATCTGATTTCTTCTTCTCTTGGCAGGCATAAAGGCACTGTGCTTCAACCCCTGTTCTCATTTAGTGTTTGCAGGAACAACAGCTGGGTACGGCTACTGCTGGGATCTTAGGTATGCTGATTATCTTTGTATATCTAAGACTTGAGTTTGCTGATACTAAGTACGGAGTCAATTCCATTGAAGTAGATTATTGAGAACATGATTCAATTACAGTGTTGCTAACATTTTAACATTTGATCTTGCAGGACCATGAGATCATTGTGGCAGACACGAATAAGTCCAAATGTTATTTACTCTATGCAGCATATGCAAAATGACACGTCAACCTTAGTTGTTGGTGGAATTGATGGTGTGCTTCGTGTCTTGGATCAGAACAATGGAGATATCCTTTCAAGGTGTGTAATTGACTACAGCAAACCCGCACACTCCTCCGCAAGTATACATGGGGTCATTGAAAGGAGGAAAGGAGGAAGAATCAGCGAAAACACTCATATTGACAAGATCCCCAAAAGTGCTCGACCAGCCATCTCATGCTTGGCTGTTGGAATGGAAAAAGTTGTCACCACACACAATAGCAAGTATATCAGATTGTGGAAATTCAACAAGTAACTGAGAAGGCTCTGTTTCGCTCATTATGGTTTTCATCGGCGTAGATGCTTGTACTCTTCGTTAATGTTTAAAAGAAAAAAAAATACTGCTAATGAAACCTTGGCTTCGAGTTGAAGTTGAGGTCCTGTATCTTGAAATTCTATAATTTCATTCAATAATTGATTGGTATTGTCCAACTCCAAGGATTATATCGGTAAGGAAATTTTAAGATTAGTTTTAGGTAAGTGAAAATTGAGTCATGAATACTCATGACTGTAAATAATTAATTAATTAATTAATTAATTGGAATCTACACATATTCTAATTGGCTTTACTTTTTCAATATTCATACTCCTAAATTTTAAATAAAAATTTATTTAACCTACAATTTTAGCAAGCTAATTAAGAAACAAGAATAAATTATTTCATTTTAGCATGTTCGGTTAAGATATCTCTATTCTTAGAACAAAAAGCAACAAATGGGCACTCAAACTCCAAGCAGAGCACTCATCTTTAATGTTTCTTATATTGTTCGTCCATTTGAAAAAATTGTTCACAGCTTTAAAATACAGGAAAACCGAAGAGATCAACGTCCTTGCTTTCTTGCTACACTAAATGACTCAACCAAATAAGGGCATTAATTGTTTTAAAATTTTCAGGCTTTACTTGCGCAGTCTGGCTTCACTCCCCGAGCTTAATATAAAAGGATGCATGAGGGTGCAGTCTAGAGCAGGCTCAAGTTGAAATCAAATCGCCACGATGGCTTCAAGTTCAGCAATCAAATTCGTTTTTGTGGCAGCTCTGCCTCTAGTGCTCCTTGTTTTGCTTGCACCAGCTTCGGAGGCAGCCATTTCCTGCAGTGATGTGATCAAGGACCTGAGACCTTGTGTGAACTACCTTGTGAATGGAACTGGAGCACCGCCATCTTCTTGCTGTGCTGGAGCCTCTGCTCTCGCATCTGCTGCAACATCCTCCGCTGATAAGAAGGCTGCTTGTCAGTGCATCAAGTCTGCCGCCCAGAAAATGAATCCAAACCAGCAGTTAGCCCAGGCTTTGCCAGCTAACTGTGGAATTACCCTACCTGTTGCAGTTTCCCCCAACGTCGATTGTTCCAAGTGCTTATTCTATTTCTAGCCTTAATTTTCTTCCCTTTTCATATAATTTTTGTTTCCATTTTAACCCATTTTGCACCTTTTTTTTATGCAGGGTTGGTTGAAATTTCAACAGGGTGCACTGAAGGACTGCAGGAGTCTTTTCTCCATATATATGGCATAATAACAGAATAAAGCTTAAAACTGTCCTGTAATAGAATGTATTTCCTTATCTTCTTGTTTTAATAAAAATTTGCCTTACCCGTTTTAACTTGGAACATTATGAATTAAAGGGCACAGACAGCATTAATCAGGGCAAGATTGCAAAAATGTGAAACAGATATCCACCCACCTATTTTGTTTACTTTCGCCGGCCGTTACCTGTCACATAAATGATAAAACATATTTCCTTTGTCCTATGCTTTAATAATTAGGCAAAACCTAAAATGTTGCCTATTCAGTCCACTATTTTAATGCATGATATACGTTTAAATTTATAAGATTAAACAGAGGTACAATAATTTTATACAATGATTGGTGGGTTCAAGGATTAAAGTTATAAAGAAATAGGTGTCCTTTACAATATGGAATATCCCAAAAGTATATGCAAATTGTTAACTATGGTACAAAACAGAGGACTTCAAAAGCTACTTTTGTTATTTGTAGCCTTGTGAAAATGGTGCCTCATTTGGCTCTCCACATTCCTTCCACAATCAAAAAACCACACAATAATGATTGAGATTTCGTATGCACTAATGGTATATAATTTTTACCTTGATGCCGATTGAGTCCTCTGTCCCCAGTGAAAATGACCAATTATGCGGGTACGTATCTGAAGAATATATGGCCCTAGAGTAATTCCCTATGCCTGCTGGAAAAGTGAAATTCTAACCTTCACTTACATTCTATGTCGCTGAGAACCTCCGGGGAACGGGAACCCGAGGTGTAGGGACAAGGATGTCACGGCCGGATTTTATCAGGCTGAGACGGTCCTTTATTGTTCTGTCAAACAGTCTGTTCTCCGGGTTCTCTGCGTAGCAGACGTAGTAACAACTCACGCAAGCATGAGGCAATGCCATGGCAATCCTTGTCTAGAATGTACAGATTATAACAATCGTCCTTAGATTAATGATTAGTTATCAAATTAAGCATGGTATTTAGTACTAGATAAACATACAAGTTGAATCAAATGATTAAATTGTTTGTTAAAGAAAGTCCAAAAAGGACTGCTTACCATGAGGTATCCAATGATGAAAGTAAGGAGAGAGATGGTGGTGGTGAAGGGTTGGTACACTTTAGCTGTCCAGGCAGCAGCCATGATGACACACACGGAGCCACTGCAAACTCCGGTGAGGAAGCAGATTGAGCTTGTTATGTCTGAATCAACAATGGGTTCCATTTCTTCTCTCTCAAATAGGGCCCAAGTGTCCTGTGATGCCCTAACAAAACCTTTTCCATAGGCAGCTATCTGTAACAATTAGATATGGAATTCAGACATTGATTGAAACTGGAACCAATAAAGAATTAATTGGCTTAAAGATTCACAATATAATGAAAAGCTCATGAAAACACATGTCAGCTACCCTGGATTAGGGATGTAAACAGATCCCACAGGATTGAGAGTCTCTCTCTATATCTGTTCCCATAAATGGCGGGAACGGGATTCTCGCACTAGAGATTTTTTATGGGGGCAAATTTTGTACTCCATCCCTGTTTCCCCGCAGTGAGGATCCTTATTCGTTTGTCAATTAATATTAAAATATAAATTTTTTACATATAATTAATTAATATTTAATTATAATAAATAAAATTATAAAAATTCAAACATAATTAATTAAAAATCTTTAAATATAAAATCAAACATAAATTGTTCAAATTAAATAAAAATCAATTCAACATAAAAAGCTAAATCAACAAACTTGTTAATGATGGGTTGGGTTAATTTTGATGGATTGGATTGGATAAAATTGAGTTACGTTTAATTTTTATTGGATTGGGTTTGGATTTAAAAATTAAGTTAAATTTAAAATAAAATTAATTTACATATTTTTTAAATTTTTTACGGGGATAAGGACAGGGAAAATTCCCTCTAAAATTTCATAAAAGAAAATATCTCCTATCCTCACCTAACCAGAAAAAATATTCCTCTTCACCCCGTCCCATGACGGGATCCTTACAGACCGCGTCTGGATGAGGGCAATTGCCATCTCTACCTGGATACAAGTTTAATTCGGTACCCAAAAGTAAATATTTTTTTTTACTAGGAATTCTCTTTAATTCTTATGGAGAACGAAGAACAATACCTGTACAAATGCCCAGCCATTTCCATATCTGAAGATGGACTCCATGACTCTGAGGCAGCAGTGTGCACAAGAAAACATGAATTCATCTTCTCCTTCAAGCAAATTCAAACCCCGGGCTACAATTCTCATGGCTTCGATTGTTGGTACAAATAAGGATCCAAGACAGGCGCTTCCAAGGTTTCTGGTCAAGGCTCTCTGGAAGCAAAACTTAGTATTGCACTGCATTCCTCTGAGATAATACAAAGAAATTACTCTACTAACTGTCATATTAGCAACATTTCTCATGACTTCAGCTGTCCAAGCCAGGCTCAAGACCAATGCAATTATGATCAATGGTGGAAAGTAGAAATTTAAGGCTCCAACCACAGCCAAAATCCACATAGACATCCAAATGAATCCAGCCCCAAGCATCATATAAGTGGGGTGGTTTAAATCTGGAAACTTGGAAGCAGGTTCCATTGATTTGATAAAAACCTTGGCACAAAACCCAATTCTTGGGCTGACCCAACAAGCATACAAGCCATTACCAATTGCAAAGGCAATGAAGCAAATTCCAACACCATCTGTGGCAGGCTTTTGGAAGCAAATCAGGAGAATTCCAGCTGACAAAGACATTATGAAAGTGCTCCAAAGTATGAAATGAACCATGAAATGAGGCCATTGTCTCACTGCCTTCTGCCAGATAAATGCAAGAGAAATGCTCAAAAGAGATGCAGCTTCAACTTGTGGCAACAAAAATCTTATAACCCTTTTCTCCTTCTCCTTTACAGACTCTAACACTCCTATTAGCCCCTGAATCCCCTTGAATATGAGAAAACATACTAGCCCAACAGCCACAACCATATGCACCATGAATAGAAACAGAGATATTTTGTTGGTATATTTTCTTGAATTCAATGTTGCCAGTGATTGCTGCACAGGGAAAAACCAACCCCCCACCCCCCCCAACCAAAAAAAAAAAAAAAGAAGAAGAGGAATTAATAACCTTTAAAACTAAAAAGAGCCCCAAATTACATTTTTTTTAATTGATTTTCATAATTAGCAAAATTTTATTCTAGTTTAAGTTTCAAGCTGTGTTGACTTGAAAACCATCTTGAATTTAATTAAGACATTCTTCCAACCTATGAAACGCACCCATCAAATTCAGATCAATAGCTGCAAAAATTGTAAAGAGAAAAACTTTGACCCAAAATTATAGGAGAATCCCCTTTTCTTGCAAAAGAAAAAGAAAAAGTAAACTTTAAACCAAGGAAAACATAGAAAAGGAGAAGTGCCAACAGCATGATTAATTCTAATTAAGAACTCACCTGTGGAGTTGGTGCAGGTGTAGAACGAGGCTGTGAATGCTGGGGAGGGGGAGGAGGATGGTGAAAAGGAGTGGTGACCCTTGTGCCGCCATTGATGGCAATCCTCAAAGGATTCGTCGGGTTCAGTCTCTGCAACATCGATGCATGAAAATGGTCTCTTTCTTTATCTTTTTCCTCTATGACCTTCTCTTCCACAAAACCACCAACTTTTCCTTTCTCCACATCTCCTTCTTCTTCTCGCTCCTCCTCCTCCTCCTCCTCCTCTTCTCCTTCTTTCTTTTCAATATTCTCTAACTCTTCTCTCTCCTGATTTTCTCTATCCACCGCCTAAACAAAATCACATTCAGAAAACGAACTCAGAACTTTAGCAGAAAGGACCAAAAATGGAAAAACCCAAAACTCAAGGTAAATAAGAATGTTAATACTCAAGTTGGGGATATTTACATGCTCGGTGGCACCCATGGCGAAGGAGATAACGGCAGTTTCAGGCGCAGGCAGAGGTGGTAATGGTTGCCTTAGACGGTGGTTGTGTTGGACTTTGCTGTGATGGTGTTTAATGATTTTAAGTTATTGGTTCTATTTGACCGCTAAATAGGTGTCGCAATGGAGTTGAGATAATGAGATGTCGTTACCATGTGGAATAAAGTACTAGTATTTATTTTATATAAAATTCAAATACTTAAAACACTCGCCATTGTGACGCGTGCAACTGTATTTATTCATAAAGGTTACCTTACTAGAATAAGAATTAGGGGTTTATCCAAGTGCACAATTTTTTTTATGTTAATTGTATAATGAAAAATAATTTTTTTTTATTTTTTATACTATTTCATATGCATCTCATGTTATTCGAATTTAAAATTTTTTATTTTCAATGAAAAAAATTACTATTAAATTATTTAGATCATTAACTATTCAAATGCATAAAATAGATAAACCGTTAAAATGAGAAGACGAATTTTTAATCTTAGGTTACATAATTATAATTATTAATTAAATAGAATTTTTTAAATGTTGAGCATTTTTTTCTCAAAGTTAATGGTCAATTTGTTGCGATTTATCTTAAGTTGGATTATAGACCAACATCCCCCTTTTTTTTTTTTCTTTTCTTTGAGAAACATTCTCTATTAATATTATCAAAAAAAATATTTTACAATTCAAACTCTATTAGTTTATTAAAAAAATATTTAGAGATAA